CGGACACATTACCGCCCAGGTTAATGAATATTCCAGCTCTTACCCAAATACACGCTTACAGCCAATTCTTATTAATTAGACTAAAATTTATTAAAGAAAAGGGAGAGTGAATTGGTTAAAAGATCCGTGTACATTCAGACATTAGTCAATCTTGAGATTCAAATTCATAGCGGAGACGGTGAGCTTTGTAGATGCAAATAGTTCTTTTAGAAATAGGTTATAGTTATAGTCCAATGTTATAGGTTATAGTCGAATGTTTGTATTCAGAGCGGTCCAGTCAGAGCTGGGATCTCAGTTCTTGAGGCTTAGGCTTCTCCTGCATGAAGCCGCAAGCAGATCTGAGATGACAGGATCAGGACCCAATCCATTTTTTTATACAGTATCAGGCCTTCTTTGACAGCTCGGAGTACCTCAGTGAACAATAGACCCTCATTTCCTAAAGTGTCAGGGGTAATTATCCACACGGATCAACATCAGGCAATTGCCTGCTTTTCCACCATTCACAGATGATTTGCTATACATTTCAAAGAAAGATGAATAAAGCGATATCCTAGATTTACAGTTCATTTATGTCCCTTTGATCTCTGAATTAATAGAATATGGCATAGACAGCGACTGTTTGATCACATTGTTGATCACCATCAATATATATGTAAATACACAAAAACACAAACATTATCTTCCCATATGTCTTTAAGGGTTGAATTTGTGTGAATGACATCCTACAGGATGCTTAATCATTTCCCATCATGCGTCACACTTGGCATGTGAGTTTACTGGCTCTATGGTTGCACTACAATGTGGTTGACACACGTTACATCAGCGTACAGCTGCCAATGGTTGTATATCACGCAGGCACATTCATGCTCGGCAGTGTGCATCAGCACTGCACATGCTCACCAGGAGGGCTGTGCCAGTGCCGCACAGGTAGGCATCCCAGCGCAATGCCTTCTGGGAAATTTTTGCAATGTGTTTTGGGATATAAATCACCAGGAATCTCTGGAATCTAGGGGTCACATTCCCAGCATGCAACTTTCTCCCGCTCATAATGTCATCCATATCCCATAATTTTCCTACTATTTTAAAAAATCCCACAAACCCATATGGCACTTCCCAGTCTTTGCCATATCTGACAGAAGCATGGAGCCCACAGAAGTATGCACTGATCTCATGAATGTGGCAAATACAGGATTCACCATGCTCCAGGATTTGCAGGGCTACAGGAAGAACTGCAACAACGGGGGACATGACCATTTCTCTGAAGACAGTTTGCTAAGCAAAAAGCATAGCAAAAAGCAACTTATGGTTATTGGTGGCATCCATGGAGCAGCAACAGATGGTAGAGCACTGATTCGGGGCCTGAGAATGAGCACTGATTGCTGGGATTGCACCGTCATGCAGGTTTGGAAAGATGAGCAGTAGCTGCAAAACGTTTGGATACCCAAGGCCACATTCCTGGTTCTGTCTGCTGAGCTCACCCCAGCTCTTCTGTGCAGGAACACCAGAAAGCTTCACTGACCATGTAGCAATGAGTGGCAATTGCACTCTGGAAGTTTGCAACGCTGGATTGCTACCAATCATTGAAAAATAATTTTGAATCTGAAAATGCACAGTGGGGCCGTTGTCATGCAAGTGTGTAGGGCCATTAATCACCTCCTGCTCTGTAGGACTGTGACTGGATGGATTTGCAGGTGTCTGTTCCTTATCTGCAGTGAGGCAACAGAAAGGGCTGCTTTTCTATGGTTATGCAAATATTGGTGGCTCACCACAACACCTCACCGATATCAGTGTGTGCTGGTCGAGGAAGGTGCCTGACACTTGCATCCTTAAGAACTCAGGACTGTTCAGAAAGCTGCAAGCAGGGACATTTTTTTCCTGACCGGGATATTACCATTATTGTCACTATTAAAATGCCAATAGGAGCAGAACAACAGTGGAATGGTACTCTTGGTAGACTGAAATGGTGTTTACTCACCAGATTGGCTCTCAGTAAGAAAATGATCCCGATGGTTATAGCTGAGTAGTATCTTGAGGCAAAGGGGGAAAAGCTGACACTCAGGTGGAGGGCGGAGGTGGAGTCTGCTGACTTTGAACAGTCAGACATAAGAGCCATGGAACTGTGCAGTTGACTGTTCTCTGGGCCTCGTGCTGCTGAGAACTGTGCAGTGCTTGCTGCACATTTATAAATATGACTGGGTATGTTGACGCTATTGTGATGGTGCTGCCTGTGGGAGCCAGCTGAGGTCACTCAATTAGAGTGAACTGCAGACAAACCCCAGACGCTGGTGGATATTCCAATACTTAGATTTACCAAGCCAGCACAGAACAGCTTCTATAGTACCTCACTGGTTAGTTAGAAATTCAAACAACGCAGTTCCTTTAAAGTACCCAGCCTCCGTCCAGACACACACGTCAGATCTGATGATTATGGAAAATCTTATCTCATCATATAACAGAAAAGGTTCTTCCAACCCCAAAGGATCAGCCACATACCCAGGTCTAATTATAACTTAATTCTTACCCAAAATCCACGCTTATAATCAATTCTTATTAACTAAAATAAAATTTATTTAAAAAGAAAAGAGAGTGTTGGTTAAAAGATCAATATACATACAGACTTGAATTCAATTCTTGAGGTTCAGATACATAGCAGAGATGAGCTCGTATTTGCCAAAAGTCCTTTTAGAAATAATCCATAGATTATAGTCCAATATCCATATTCAGGGTGACGCCAGTCAGTGACTGGGGATCTCAATCCCTTGTAGTTTAAGGTTTCCTCCTCTTGAAACCCAAAGCAGATCTGAGATGCAGAAGGATCGTGTCCCAGGGTTCTTATACATTTCCAGCAGCCTTTTGGCCTGAGAAAACAATAGGCTTAACGCTCCTTCTTCCAAACATCCTGGCAATTAGCACAGGGTAATTTATCCATTAAAAAGTTCAGATACAGATTACCACAATCTTCAAAGAGACATATAGACACTAATACTATTTCACTCAAGTATCTTCCTAAATGTTAATATTCCCTTTTTGATCTTTGAATCAAAGCTATAGCAATAGACAAGACTTCTTTGCTTACGTCCCAAGACCTGAGCAAACACCTACCCGTCTACCTCTAACAATGCAGACTTGCATTTCAAAGCTCTATTCATTTACATATCTTCCTAACCAGTTTCTAAAATTCGGATATGGGTCAGGTCAATCTGTGAGTTAATTAACTCTTTCTGGTCCTGTCACCTTCCCGTGAAATATTATATTACACTCATAATGTCACAGCTATGAATTCTATGCTATTTGCTGTACATTTCCAAGCACTGTGTGCTTTGAGTGCTGCTCTGCATGCTGCACTATGTGCTGTGAAGTATTCTCCAAAAATAGAACTTTATGAGAGGGGAAAACAATGGATTAGGGTTAGTCCAGAGCCTTCCCCGTACATCCCTCTGTCCCACAGGCTACAAACTGGCTTCCTCTCTGCAGACAGCCTCTCCTTAACTCTCCTGTGCCTCTTCTTCATGTGTGTGATGGCAAAGCAGACTCACTGGATGAGCCAGTGACTACCATGCACTGGACACCAGAATTACTTTAATTCCAGAATTAAAGTATTTCACCTTTCCAAATATTCTTCAAGAAGTGCAATATTGCTTTTTTCATAGGGCCCCATTCTCTAGACACTCTCACTAGGTACTGCAGCAAAAAATGTGATACTTTAAGGCCTCTATGTTTTTCATATAAATATCTTCTTTCATGTCCCACTCTGCACTTCCAAAGCTTTATACAGAGTAAAACGAATTAATTTGGGGTTTGGATCCCGTTGAAAGCTGGGTGTCTGGGAGCTGGTTCAGGTAACCAGCAGAGCTGTTTTCACTTAAACCATGCAGCTTTGGGGGCATGGCCAGGACCCTGGGTCTGTGTTGCAGCAGGCTAGCATGTCTGGTTCAACAAGGCAGGGTTCTGGAAGTCAAAAGCTGGCAGGAAAAACAGGCTCCAAGGTAATTTCAGCATATCAGATGACAGTCCCAAGGGGATCTCTGTGACTGAACCCATCACAACCAGTTTCTGGCAAAAAGAGGCTCGGGATTTTGAAGCACTTCAAGAAGATGAAGATGATCAGGAACAGTCAACATGGATTCACCAAGGGCAAGTTATGCCTGACCAATCTGGTTGCCTTCTATGATGAGCTAACTGGTTAGGTGGACAAGGGGAAAGCAGTAGACCTGATATTGCTTGACTTTAACATCGCTTTTGATACGGTCTCCCACAGCAGGTTAAAAAAGTATGGATTGGATGAATGGACTATAAGGTGCTAGAAAGCTGGCTAGATTGTCGAAGTCAATGGGTAGTGATCAACAGTTCGATGTCTAGTTGGCAGCCGGTATCAAGTGGCGTACCACAGGGTTTGGTCCTGGGGCCAGTTTTCTTCAACAGGTTTATTAATGATCCGGATGATGGTATGGATTGCACCCTCAGCAAGTTTGGAGATGACACTAAGCTGCGGGAAGCGGTAGATATGCTGGAGGGTATGGACGGGATCCAGAGTGATCTAGACAAATTGGAGGATTGGGCCAAAAGAAATCTGATGGGGTTCAGGTTGGAAGAATCCACACCACTCTGGTGTAAGTTAGTCAACGTAGTTAGGAGTTGACGTAACTTAGGTGAATTTACTGTGGTGTCTACATCGCACTGGGTTGATGGGAGACACTCTCCCGTTGACTTATCTTACTCTTTTCATTCGGGCTTGAATATGGGGTTGACCAGAGAGCGATCTGCGGTCGATTTGGTGGGTCTTCACTAGACCTGCTAAATTGACCCCGGTGCATTGATCGCCAGAGCGTCAATCTGGCTGTAGTGTAGACATATCCTAAGTCTCTGCCAGGCCACTTGCATTGACCTACTTTGTCATGTAGCCTGGCCTGAGGGCTGAGAGCTCCTCCCTTTGAGCTGTGCCCCCAGGGCCCCAGTCACTGAAACCATCCCAGCCCCCTGCGCGCTCTGTGTCCCAGCAGGTTTTCTCCCTCTCTGCGGAATGGCCTTGAGGAGAACTACTGCCGGAACCCAGACAGAGATGAGCGGGGTCCCTGGTGCTACACCATGGACCCAGCCGTCCGGCACCAGAGCTGTGGTATCAAGAAGTGTGAAGATGGTGAGTAAACCGCCTTCCCCCAAGCACAGGTGCCGACTTTTCCTTTTCCCAGGAGGTGCTCAACCCCCACTTCACCTGAGGCCCCAACCCCGCTCAGCCACTTCCCCCAAGGCCCCGTCTTTGCTCCGTCTCTTCCCACCTCCACTCTGCCCCCCTCCCCAAGGCTCCCACACACCCACCACTCTCCAGCCTCCCCAAGTCCCCGCAACCGCCAAACAGCTGTTTGACAGTGGCATCACCCCCATCAGCTGTTGGGCAGTGGTGTTCCCCCATCACCTGATGAGCAGGGGCGGGGAACAGCTGTGGCTGGTCGGTGCTGAGCACCCACTATTTTTTTTCCATTCATGCTCCAACTCCAGAGCACCCATGGACTCGGCATCTATGGAGTAGCTATCTCCCACGTGCAACAGCCGGACATCTCACCCGCTGGATGCCCCCTCCCTCCCCACATGACAGCTGTTGCCTGTGCACCAGCATTCAGGCAACACATGCCCTATCACCCCTGCGCACCGCCATGCACAGATGTGGTGGATCCAGGGTTCTACCCACAAATCCTGGCACTAGTCTGCTGGGTGATGGTCTGTGATGTGGGGGCTCTCCTGGGGGCAGAGCTGGGAGGATTGGGGATGCAATGGATTCTCTGGGTTCAGAGCCAGCGACATTCATCTGCATAGCTGGCAAAGGCCTTCAGAGCTGCCAGCCTGCACATGTCCTGCCTCGCTCCATGCCTGAAGCATGATTCTTTCTTGCAGCCGTGTGTGTGTTGTGCAACGGGGAAGATTACCGGGGCCTGGTGGACCACACGGAGTCCGGGCGGGAGTGCCAGCGCTGGGACCTGCAGCACCCCCACAAGCACCCATACCATCCCCACAAGTATCAGCCCTCCCCGCTTGGGGCAGGGATTGCTCATCCCCCGCGGGATGGTCTCAGTGTGGGATGGGAACAGTCTGGCCTTCACGGGGGGGCTCAGGAGGGAGCAGGTCTGGGTGATAGTGGGGCATCTCAGCACTCTGTCCAGAGCAGAGAGTTCCCCGAGGTCCCAGGTTACTGCCCCTGGATTCCTAGGGGCTGGGAAGCCTGAGCCCCCAGCACTACGGAGGCCCTGCAGTGAATGCAGACCAGCCAGGGGACATGGCACTCTGGGATAGGCATTAGCAGAGACCCTCTCAGCTGCCAGTGCTGAGCCCCCAGGCTGGCAGTGCAACCTGCAGAGGAGCATTCTTGGCACTGCCCAGACCCACCACCACCATGTACAGGCAAGGCTCAGCCCCGAGATTCTGTGGGTAACATGGATCCTGGCCATGTTCCCCCAAACAGGGCTGGTCACTGCCGAGGGTCAGGCTGGGGCTGCGCTGCAAACCCACTTCCTGGGGGTCCGAGCAGGGGAAGAGCACATCCCAGAGGCTCTTGGACCAGGAAAGGATCAGAATGTGGCTTTGTAAATATCAAGGTTTCCCTCACCTCTCTCCCCCTGCCTTCTCCCTATTCCATCCAGATATCCTGAGAAGGATTTGGATGACAATTACTGCCGCAACCCTGACAGCTCCGTGGGCCCCTGGTGCTACACCACAGATCCTGCCCGGGAGCGGGAGTACTGCCACCTCCGCAAATGCAGTAAGTGCTGTGCTGTGGGTGCCAATGGGCGTGACTGGGATGTGTTGCCCACACTGCTATGTCCGTATCATTGTTAACCTCACTGACGTGCCCAATCCAGCTCTGGCCCCTGATGGTGTGAGGTCTAGCCACCTAGCAGGGCCACCCCATGCTGCAGTGCCCGGTTTGCTGCTCCCATGCCTCAGCGGAGTCGAGACATGTAGCCATGACAGACCTTTCCCTGCCAACGCCCCCCTACTGCCACTGCCCAGCACTGCTCTGCTCTGCTCCAGTGCAGGGGATGAGTAGTACCCCAACCCCTCGCACAGCGCCCACCCACTGGCACTCAGGAATATGCTCCATGCCCTTAGGGGTATTTCATAGAGCTCATGAGGTCCAACCTCTGGCTCACAGTCCTGAGTGCATGGCAGGGCCCTGCCAGCGAAGAGTCTGCAGCGGGACCAGTCCCCTGGTCAGCGGGCTGGTGCTAGGGTGCAAGGTGTCCCACCTCCCACAACATACACCACTCCTCCCTGCTCCCCGGTGCTCCCAAGCCAGCCCCCAGTGACGCTTGGCCTTTCCTGCTGCCCACATCCACGGAAGCAGAGAAAAGCCCACGCCTCGCAGACACCACCACCAGCTGTTTCAAGCACAAAGGCGAAGGTTACCGGGGCAAGGTGAACGTCACCACGTCAGGAATCCCCTGCCAGCGCTGGGACGCCCAGACCCCCCACCGGCACCATTTCCGGCCCGAGGCATACGAGTGCAAGTAGGCGATGGAACACTTGGGTGGGGGAGGGAGGAGCTCCTAGAGGTCTATATGCTGGAAAAATTCAGTGCGCATCTGTGTAGAGATTGCTGGATGGTCCCTGGAGGTTAGCTGGGGGATGGGTAGCTGGGGGACAGGTAGCTGGGGTCCTGGGGGAACTATCTGGAGGAGGGGGTTGCTGGGGGTCCCCGGGGGAAGCTAGTTGGGCGGGGTCGCTGGGGTAACTGGAGGGGGGAGCTAGCTGGGGGAGGGGTCCCTGGGGGGGCCTAGCTGGGGGGGTTCCTGGAGAGGTACCTGGGGGAGGGTTACCTGTTCCCCCCAAGATGAGGCCCGGCACCAGTGCACACTGCGCTAGCTGCCTGAATAAACATTCAGGGTCCTGGACCGCATGAATATCTGTGCTGCTCGCTTGAGATGGCTGGGTCCAGACTTCCTGGCTCAGGTCCTGGGTGCTGCAGGCTCCCTCCGTGGCTATGTAGCCATCTGTCTGGCGGCTGCAGCATTGCCCCAGACAGAGCTGGGCAGGAGGAGCTGGCTCTGCAGCTGGGCGTCACAGAGTGGGAGCCAGCCTAATGACCCAGCCAGTGCTGGGAGTGTGGTGTGAGGCCTGGGTGGGATCGCTGGTTCTCGGGCTGCAGGGCCTGAGACTCCAGCACAGGTGTGGCCCTGGCCCAGATGGGGTGGCACCAAACTTGCAGGGGGCCTGCCTGCAAATGCCCATAGCCTGATGCCACAGCTCGGGTGGAGGTGCTCCTGGCGTGTCTGTGGGGGGCGATCTGGGCATCCAGATCCTTGGAAATTCCAGCCCGCTACCCACAGGAACACCTCCACGGCTGGGCGTGGCTCCCATGTTGGGGGCTGGCAGCTGCTGGACGCTGTATCATTGGCTGGGACGTTCCCAAGCTGAGCTGGTGTGTCTGCCAGGGACCTGCGGGAGAATTACTGCCGGAACCCTGATGGCTCAGAGGCCCCCTGGTGCTTCACCAGTCTGCCCAGCATGCGCGTCGCCTTCTGCTTCCAGATCAAACGCTGCACTGATGAGGTGGAGGTGGACGGTGAGGACTGCCCTGGCGGGGAGGAGACACTGGGCTGCCCTGCGACTCTTCAACAACAAACCAATTCTCAGTGCAGTGCCCCAGAGCAACCCTACAATAACTAGTGCCCACAGCCCAGTGCCCAGGAGTGACCCTACAATAAGAAATCATCTAGTTATCTTAGGTGCCTGAATACAAAAAGCCTGGGGAACAAGCAGGAAGAATTGGAAGTCCTGGCACAGTCAGGGAACTATCATAGAAACATAGATTAGGCTTGGAAGAGACCTCAGGAGGTCATCTAGTCCAACCCCTGCTCAAAGCAGGACCAACACCAACTAAATCATCCCAGCCAGGGCTTTGTCAAGCCGGGCCTTAAAAACCTCTAAGGATAGACATTCCACCACCTTCCTAGGTAATCCAATCCAGTGCTTCACCACCTTCCTAGTGAAACAGTCTTCTCTAATATCCAACTTAGACCTTCCCCACTGCAACTTGAGACCATTGCTCCTTGTTCTGTCATCTTCCACCACTGAGGACAACCGAGCTCCATCCTCTTTGGAACCCCTCTTCAGTTGAAGGCTCCGATCAAATCCCCCCTCACTCTTCTCTTCTACAGACTAAATAAGCCCAGTTCCCTCAGCCTCTCCTCATAAGTCATGTGCTGCAGCCCCCTAATCATTTTTGTTGCTCTCTGCTGGACTCTCTCCAATTTATCCACAGCTTTTCTGTAGTGAGGGGCCCGAAACTGGATGCAATATTCTAGATGTGGCCTCACCAGTGCCGAATAGAGGAGAATAATCACTTTCCTCCATCTGCTGGCAATGCACCTACTAATGCTATGATGTGATTCGAGCACTGTCATGGATGGGTATAAACTGTTCAGCAAGGACACACAGAGGGAGAAAAGATAGAGGAGTTGCACTATATGTAAGAGAGTAGTATGATTACTCGGAGCTCCAGTATGAACTGGAGAAAAGCCTGTTGAGATTCTTTCGGTTAAGTTTAGAGGTGTTAGCAACAAGGGTGATGTCATGGTGGGCATCTGCTATAGATCACCAGACCAGGAGGATGAGGTAGACGAGGCTTTCTTCAGACAACTTACAGAATCTTCTATGATTCTATGATCAGTGCGCACAGCCCAGTGCCCAGTAGCGACCCTACAATAAGAAACCAGTGCACACAGCCCAGTGCCACGGAAGGACCCTACAATAACAAACTAGTGTGGACAGCCCATTGCCCAGGAGCAACCCTACAATAACAGAACACAGTGTGTGTGTGTTACCTCCTGGGCAGTCTCTGGGGGTCTGGGTGCAGAGCAGGGGAGGGAGCACTAGGCTGGTGGTATCAGGATGATCCCTGAGAGGTGTCATGGTGGGGACTGGGGCCAGGGAGTTTGGGGTGGGGGGGGAGCCGTGCACATCTGGTAATAGGTGTCATTTCCATTTCCTTACCCCAGACTGTTACCATGGAAATGGTGAGCTGTACAGGGGCAAGATCAGCAAGACCCGGAAAGGCATCACTTGCCAGAAGTGGTCAGCAGTATCGCCCCACACACCCCAGTGAGTGCGAGGGTCTGCCTTCCTCCATCAATGTCCCCCACAGCCACTGGGAGAGGTCCCCGATGGGGAGGTCCCTGCACTGGGCCCAGGAACCTAGGCGTGTGACCCTGCCATGGAGCCCGGGTCAAAGCGAGCAGCAGGGCCAGGGGCAGTGGGAATGGCACCGCCTCGGGGGGAGGGTTGTGGGGAGTGTTGGGATGAGGGATGAGAGGTGTGCGAAGGTTGAAGGGTTGGGGGGCTTGAGGGAAACCAGGGTAGCAGGGGGGGTTGAGGAGGCGGCAGGGGAGAGTGCTGAGGGGTGAGGAGCTGTGGGGCAGAGGCAGGAGGGTAGCTGAGGTGTGGGAGTTTGAGGGGCGGGGCAGGAGTGTGGCTGGGGGGCAAGGGGCTGGGGAGAAGGGGCAGGAGGGGGGCTGAGGGGTCTGGGTATCTGAGGGCCGAGGAGCAAGAGAGTGGCTGGAGAGGTCTGAGGGTGGAGGGGGCTGAGGAGCAGCAGAGGGGGGAGGGGTCGTGGTTGAGGGACACAGGGCTTATTTCCCCACCTTCCCCTAGGATCTCTCCCGCCATGTTCCCTGCCATGCGCCTTGAGGAGAATTATTGCCGCAACCCCGACAACGACAGCCACGGGCCCTGGTGCTACACCATGGACCCCAGCACCCAGTTTGATTACTGCGCCATCAAGTCCTGCGGTGGGTGCCTGGCATGCAGAGGAGACGGCTCAGTCTCATGGCCGCTGCCCCACGCCATGTTCTCTGGGCAGGGTCGGCTCCAGGCACCAGCTGAGCAAGCAGGTGCTTGGGGCGGCCAAGGGGAAGGGGCGGCATGTCGGGCTCTTTGGCGGCAATTCGGCGGAGGATCCCTCTCGGAGGGAAGGACCTGCCGCCAAATTGCCACCGAAGAAGAAAGCGGCACGGTGGAGCTGCCGCTGATCGCGAACGCGGTCTTTTTTTTTTTTGCCGCTTGGGGCGGCAAAAGCCCTGGAGCCGGTCCTGTCTCTGGGGACTGGCGTCATGCTGCTAAGCTGAGAAAATGCAGTGAGCTCGTGGCCTGGCTCCCCTCTGCCGAGCTGGCCCGTGGCCCAGCCTCCTGTTGACCCAGTGCACCACACTGGTGAGTGGCAGGGCCACTGCCACGGCCACCTCTCCAAGCCCACAGGCTGGGCTGCCCCCTCCAGCGGCCGTCTCCACAGCACAGCCAGCCCTGGCCACCCAGTGTTCGGCACGTGGATCTGAGCCTACTCAGGACAGACCTCGGCTCTGGCCTAGGTAGAGAGATGGGCGAATTAGTCGCCACAATCTTGCTCCCTTAAACTGCCTTGTGAGTTCCAGGTACCCAGCCGTACCTGTGTCAGGCAGGTGGTGCTCTGGGGCCGCGGACAGGCCAGGGACAGAAGATGCTCGGGGGTGTGTGTGTGCACTGGAGGAGGGGATGAAGAGGTGCGAGTAAGGACTCAATCACCCCACTCCAGTGATGCAATTATGGGCTGGTTCAGTACCAGTGTGGTGCTGCTGGGCACACCCCAGAATGGTGGCTCCTTGGCGTCCGCTGCTCTGGAAACCCGGAGGCATTTTCAAAAGATTTAATCAGCAGTAAAAGGCGCTTGGTCTCTGTAAAGTGGGGGTGGGGAGCTGGGTTGAGGGCTGAGGGAATGAAGCCCCAGGACTGTGCCGTTGTCCAGCACAACCCCAGGCTGTGCTTTGGCCATTCCCCAGGCCTGGACCATCCATGCTCGGCTCACCTACTCTGACCCACGTCTTGGGGCAACTGACCTTCACCACCTCTGGTTTGTTTCCCCAGCAGGTGACAAGACACCATCCATCCTGGAGACTGCAGGTAAAGCCCGCCAGCTGTGGCCAGAGTCTGGGTGCTGGGGCCAGTTGGGGGCAGCTTAGCCTGGGGGGAGTGCTCAGGAGCAGAGGCCACAGAGCCCCTAGTTGACCCCACCTCCATCTCAGGACTGGGGCACGATCCAGATCACCAGGTGCACAATGGGCATCTGTCTCTGGCTGGGGAGTCTTTGGGGAGCTCCTGCTGAGCCTGCTGCTGGCCCCAGCTCCCGAGGGCTGCCCTCATCCTCCCCATGCCTGCAGATAACGTGGTCTTTGCCGAGTGCGGCAAGAGGGACGAGCGCCTCCAGCTGAAGGGCCGTATCGTCGGGGGACGCCCTGGGAACTCACCCTGGACTGTCAGCATCCGCAACCGGTGAGCAGTGTCCCCCGGGATTGGGGGCCCAGCCAGGGTGGGGCTGGGGCAGGAGATCTGGAGTGTGGAACCCTGCTGGGTCATGGGGAAGCAGCTGCAGCAGCCATGTGCCATTGGTGCCTGACCAATGCTCTGGTGACTCGAAGTGGAGACTCAGCCGGGAGCTATTTGAACTCCATTCGGTGGGGCAAGAGTTTAATATGTGCGAAGCAGCAATGTGTGCATCTCCCAGAGCAGCTAGAGCCTGGCTAGCTGTCATTGCCTTTAATAGCCCCAGCCTACTCTGAGCAGCCTCCCCCATGACTCGCCAGGCATAGGCTGGGGGTCAGCAAGCCACCAACATTGGCGCCTGCTTCCGGGCCTAACAATGCACATTGCAGTTCCCCAGCATCCAGACCCCCCCAGGCACTTGATAGCTGCAATAGCAGGGGCCTGGGGACTGGCACTTGCAGAACAACCAGTGGTGGTCACACCTCCTGCCATGGGTTCCCCACAGAGGAGAGAGGGGACAGGGTGAGCTGCACGGAGCTGAGCTCCACGGTACGATCTCACAATGGGCCGAAGTGCCATGCAGACCAGTTACCTCTCTCTCACTGTGGCCAATGTCACAGAGGCAGAGACTCCCCATGGGCCTCACTGTCCCATATCTGATCTGCTGGAGGTCTAGCGCGCCCAGTGCTCAGCGAGGCATGGAGATCTGGAGATTCAGACATTCCCAGGCCTGAACGGACCATCGTAATTATCCAGTCTGACTTCCTTTAGGATACAGGCCAGAGAATGTCCTCAAAACATTTCCTAGAGCCAGAAAACAGCCGATCTTGAGTTAAAAATTGTCAGTAGTGGAGAATCCACAAGGACCCTGGGTAAATTGTTCCAATGGTTAATTATTATCACCAGTCAAAATGTAAACCTGATTTCCAGGATGAATGTGTCTAGCTTCAACATCCCGCCTATGGACAGTGCCATAGTCCCTTCCTCTGCCAGCCTGAAGAGACCAGGATGAAAGCTTCAGTTCCTGTGCCGATAGTCTGCACATTGATCGAGTCACCCTTTCACCTTCTCTTTGTTACTGCTGCCAGCTGGTGCTAACTAGATTGCCAGGCCCTGTGAGGCAGGCAGGGGCGCCACCTGGACCCTGCCTCTCCCATGTGATAAGTGCTTTCTGCCCCGCAGGAAAGGAGTGCATTTCTGCGGAGGATCCCTGGTGAAGGAGCAATGGGTCATCAGCACGCGCCAGTGCTTCTCCTCCTGGTAAGGTGTCAGCTGTGCCCTGGAGCCCCTTAGAGCAGTGGGTCTCAAACTTTTTTACTGGCGACCCCTTTCACATCACAAGCCTCTGAATGCGACCCCCCCTTATAAATTATAAACACTTTTTTATATCTTTAACACCATTATAAATGCTGGAGGGAAGCGGGGTTTGGGGTGGAGGTTGACAGCTCGCGACCCCCCCATGTAATGACCTCGCGCCCCCCTGAGGGGTCCCGAGCCCCAGTTTGAGAACCCCTGCCTTAGGGGGAGGAAGTGCAGTGTCCTGTGCACAAGCCATTCTGGCTGAGCGCATGGCATTGTGAGGGAGGGGCTGGAGCAGGGGACAGTCTACAGACCGTTCTGGACCCGTTGGACTCTGACTGGTCCAGAGATCAGCTAGCTGGTGCCTTTGCGGTGCTCAGCACCAGTCCAAGGGTTGTTACCATCCAGTCCTCCACGGTGCCGCAGCCAGCGGGGCCAGGCTCAGTGAGGGGCCAGGGAGCAGAAAAGGGAGGTCAGATGGGCCCTATTCATTGGCACCATTGCAGCAGCTGCAGACATCATATAGTGGGTGCAGCAGTGCCTAGGTGGGCAGCGGACAATAGGGAGCCTGTGGTTTGTCCCTTCAACCCCTACTCTCCCTACGTGCAGGCTACACAGGTGTCTGGGCAGCACTGTATTCAGCCGCTGTCGGCCTGGCCTTCCGCCCCTGTGCCGCATGGCATATTTCAGCCCCAGAGCTAGCCCTTTGGCATGGGCACAAGGGGGCTGCCGTAGTGATGGTCATACACAAACTGTCTGGGAGCACCTTCCTGGGCTGTGCAGCCCTTGTCCTGCAGGGAAGGGCCAGTCCTTGCTCGACCACTCCTAATGGTACGAAAGGCAGGGCCCCAGATATGGGGGACTGTGAGAGAGCCCCTGCACAGCCATAGGGCTGCCAACAGTCAAATCAAGCAAATCCAAGGGCCCTTGCCCCGCCCCTGCCCCGCCCCATCTCCGAGGCCCCACCCTGCTCACTCCATTCCCCCCTCCCACCGTCACTCACTCTCCCACTCACTTTCACTGGGCTGAGGCAGGGGGTTGGGGTGCGGGCTCTGGGATGGAGTTCGGGTACTGGAGGGGCCTCCGGGCTGGGGGAGGAGGTTGAGATGCGGGACGGCATGTAAGGTTTGGGCTCCAGGAGGGCGCTCAGGGCTAGGGCAGGTGATTGGGGTGTAGGAGGGGGTGAGGTGTGCGGCTCTGGGAAGGAGTTTGGGTGCAGGAGGGGGCTCCATGCTGTGGCAGGGGGTTGGGTGAGGAGGGGGTGCGGAATCTGGGAGGCAGTTTGGGTCAGGGCTAGGGCGGAGGAGCAGAGTGAGGGCTGGGGGCACTGTGCTGGAGTGATGTGCTGCAGCTTGGGTCGTGCCTCCTCTGGCAGTGACACTGACCTGTCTAGCTACGAGGTCCAACTTGGGACCCTCTTCAAGGACCCCAGCCCCAGCGACCCCGACAAACAGGCCCTCCCCATCCTGAAACTTGTCTGCGGGCCCTCCGCGTCTGACCTGGTGCTGCTGAAACTGGCCAGGTGAGCAGGCTAAGGGTGGCGGCTTGGTGGGCCCGGGACCTCGTGCGAGGGCGTACGCTGGACCCCCACCCCCACCATGCAGCTCTTGCTGTGACAGCATTTCCCTCCAACTGGGGTGCCCCCTTTCTTTGTAAGGTCCAGCTGGTTCCAGAGATTTCCTGTGCTCCCACAGAGAACCCCCAGGAGCCAGCCGGGGGTGCTGGGGACAGCCAGGGCATGCCCTGCCCAGGCATGCCGGGTGCCACGATGGGAAGGGTGGTCCAAGGCGGTGGTGGTGCAGGGGGCCGGCCCATGGGGCAGGTGTCTGCCTGTGACAGGGAGGCAGGTAGGGTAGTATATGGCCCTGGCTTTGGCTCTGCTTCCCTGACTCCCATGGCCTGGTGCAATGGCTCCGTGCACGGGCATGCACTAGAGCCCAGCTGGCACACCCTGGGGAGCAAGAGTCAGCTGCAGGCAGGACAGGAAACCTGGGGCAGCGTGGGGGAATCCCCCAGCAACCATCACATTCGGGGGATGAGGATTCAGCATCCCCAGGGCTGGACAGACCTGAATGGGGCAGTTCAAACCTCTGTGAGTCATTGGCCTGGGCTCCCTGCAGCCATCCTGTTGTGCTCGGGTCACATATGGAGGCTGCTCCAGTTCCATCTGCGCTGAAGGCCTGTTCCTGCAATGGCTGTAGTGAGGGCAGAGCCTTGCGGTGCCATGCTGGGAGTTGGTTGGTAATGGACACTGGGGGTTGGCACGCAGGGAGTGGGTGGGCATCTGTATGGCACTGCTCTGTCTTGGCAGGCCAGCGACTCTGAACGATCGGGTGGCTCTGATCTGCCTCCCACCAGAGCGGTACGTCGTGCCCGAGAACACAGAGTGCGAGATCGCTGGATGGGGTGAAACCGGAGGTACAGACCCAGGGCCAGGAAGGGGGCAGCCAGGAGAAGAGGACTAGAGAATGCCATGTGGCACAGACACCCCCAAAGCCGTCCAGACTCCTCTACAGGCTGGGGCTGTCTGCAATGACACCCCCCTTTCTCAGCTTCCTCCCGCCCTGCCTCTCTACACTACAGGAACCCCAGCCGAATCCGTGCCCCATGGGGCCTCCCCTCTGCTCCACACTTCGGCCCCATCCCCTCTACCACTGCCACATGAGAGCCCAGCCAACGACCCCCTCATGGCTAGCCAGCCTCCCCTCCAGCCAGCCCTGTCCAGGCCGGGGGGAAGGGAGATGGGGCCACCAGTCCCTGTGCTCTAGCCCCCAGGCCCCTCATCTGCTCGCCCTCTTCCTCCAGGTACCGGCAACAAGACTCTGCTCAACGTAGCCAAGCTGCCCGTGTTGAGCAACAAGGAGTGCAACATGGTGCTCCGAGGCCAGGTGAAGGAGAGTGAGCTGTGTACTGCGCCTCTGCGAGCCGGGGTGGGGGCCTGTGAGGTGAGCTGGGGGGCACACTGGGAGGTGCCTGCTGGAGGGGAGGGGAGTGCTGTGGGAGAGGGGAGGGGAGTGTTAGGGGGACAGGCTGGGAGGGCGTGTTGTAGGGGAGAGGAGGGGAGGGGAGTGCCATGAGAGAGGGGAGTACTGTGAGAGAGGGGTGGGGAAAGGTGGGAGAGTGCCTTGGAGGAGGGGAGGAAGTGTCATAGGGGACAGGTTGGGAGGCAGTGTTATGGGGAGGTGAGTGCTGTGGGGGGCGGGAGGGGAAGAGTGCCATGGGGGGGGGCAGGCTGGGAAGAAGTGCTATTGGGGAAGGGAGGGGAGTGCTGTGAGAGCTGGAAGTGGATCCTGGGGAAGGAGGCCATGCAAGGTGAGCACAGGGAGGAGCTGTGAGGGGGCAGGGCAGGACGGGAGCACAGGAGGGGGCCAGGGGCCCTGGGTCCTGGACCCTGCACAGTGGCACAGTGGCCTGGCACGCCTAGTCCCTGCCCATGCTGAGGGGCCAGCGCAGGGCGCAGGAGTTGATATGTTTTCTCGGCCCCTGCAGGGTGACTATGGGGGGCCGCTGGCCTGCCTGACCCATGACTGCTGGGTGCTGGAGGGCGTCATCACCCCTATCCGTGTGTGTGCCCGCAAGGACCAGCCAGCTGTCTTCACTCGTGTCTCTCTCTACGTCGATTGGATCAACAAAGTGATGAGGATGCTCTGAGCTGGTGGGGGCCCAGCTCAGGGCCCAGATGGGCAGGGACGGCCCCCAGGGAGCTAAGCGCTGCTTTCCCCTCTGCCTGGTGATGGCCGTGGGCTCTGAGATGTACATTCACCCGTGCCAAACTGTGCCAAGCCCTCGCAGCGTCCCCGGGCAGGGCTCTGAGTCCAGACTGTCTGTCCCATGTGCTGAGACCAAGCCAGCCAGCCCGTCCCTGGGCTGTGGGCACCGGCATTGGGTGATTGCAATAAACATGCTCAAGGTGTCAGTGGTTGTCTCTGTCAGGTGGGCCAGGGAGGGCGGATCCCCAAGGGTTCTGGGGTACAGGACCAGTCCCAAGGACTGGTAGGAGCCTGGGCAGGACCTGGCAGGCTCCAAGTCCGCTTGGGGGAGATGGCAGCTCTGGCCCTGTCCATTTCAAGGAGCCTCTCCCCCAGGATCGGGAGGGGGGGTCTGACTCCTGAGTTGTGACCCACAGGAGCCCAGCGCCCGGCCTGGTCATGTCTCGCTGCACAGGCTGGGAGCCCCCTGTACGCTGCAGCCATGCGCACCACCAGGAGAGGGCATCAATGGGCTGGAGTTAATGGTGGGGGGCAAAAGGAGGAGGGGAAAGGTCCTTGAGTGCTTGGGGGTGGGGCAGAAGGCAGTCCCCTGGGGGGAGGGCAGGGAAGCATGTGGCCCCTGGGGACCCTGGCGAGGCCAATCAACACATGGCTCCTGGGGGACATGGTGGGAGTAGAGGTGCTGGTTCATGTTTCAAGGTTTGTCAATAGAACATGAGCTGTGACACCTTCACCCAGAAGCAGGGCAGGGGGCTCTGGGCTGTATCCAACTGCAGGGAGGCCAGAGCTGGGTCACGGCGTGCATGTAGGAGGAGGGCAGGGGCTGGCTCTGGGGCTGTGACTGCCCCACTCTGGGCACAGCCCTGGTTCATCTGGCCAAGCCATAGCCGGCACAAGGAGACAGGTGTAGTGTGCTTCAGGGATGCCAGATGCCAGCCATTTACTGGCACTCCCAGTGTCCCGTTCCTCCCACCTGTCCAGCCACCTTCTCGCCGAGCCCCCCGCTTACTCCACCCATCGTGCTCTGGGGCTGCAGCCTGGGACACTTTTTGGGGTACCCGAGATGTCTGGGACAAATCCCTGCCCATAGCAGGAGGGAGTGGATCTGTGTCCACCAAGGGAGACTCCCAACCCCGCCGGCTGCTGGCAGACAGGTGTACCCCCTGAGCTCCACAAGCCCCGCTCTTTCCCCAGGCAGGCTGGCAATGTATACCCCGCCACCATGGGACACACAAGTGCCCTTCCCTTTTCTGGACTCCGCCGAGTTACGGCCTGCAGGGAGTCGGGCCACCCGGCCATGGGTCTCTCCTCAGTTCACCCCTCTCCTTAGCACCCGCCTCTCAGCTGCATCTACGAAAACCAGACAGAGGTTTGTTTAGCAGAGCTGGAGCCAGACCCATGGGGCTTGGAAACCCACAGGCACAAATCAAAGAAAAGCTGTACAAATCTGGAATCTGACTCCTGACCATGAGACCTGGCTCTCCCCCAGTAGCCTGGTCTTCCAGCCCGTGGCCAGTTCTGACCATCTCTGTGATGAGTGACTTTGGCCGGTTCCTCTGCTATTCTACAGATCCAGGCTGTTTCCTAGCCCAGGGTGCTATCCGCGGGCTCGTTTGTGTGTGTCAGTGCTCACGTCTCCACCTGGTCCAGACACGGATCCAAGCCTGATCTCCTTGGTGCAGCTGCAGCCACCCACAATTCACCTCGCCGCCATGGACGAGTCTCTGGGCAGCAGTTTTGAACCCCACTATCTGCCATGTCACGCAGCTCCACAGCCACTGCCTCTGCGCACCGCTCCCACCAGCCACGCCAGTCGATTCCTGCTTAGCTTTCAGCAGAGCTCCCCATGGCCCATGTGGTGCCATACCTGCCTGGGCATATCTGTGGAACAGAGCCCTATTAGCTAGGGTT